ATCAATTAATATGTGTTACATCTAACCTCTCATACATGTGTCTACTAGCCTACCTATCTAATGGGGAACTTGAGCATCGTTACACACCCACAAACGGGACTGAGACACCAACAGGACTTTTTTTAGGTCCCCTCTTTGACATGCTTTAGATCAACCTAAAATCATGTGAAATGCACTCTTTTGCACTTTTTACAATTTTTACCAACAGGGGACTTCAAGGTGTGTGAGTGTTTAATTCATATTCGGCCTTGGCTCTGCAGGCTGGAGAAAAGATTTCAATGACCCATTCACACACATCGTTGTAACACACCTTCGGGGTGTGAATGACTTAAGCCGCAGACTTTCAGAGGGACTATTACAAAGGCTATACTGAAGAAACCAGTCTCTTAAAACTCTTTTTTTGTTTTTGTAAAAAATATATATAAAGGCTCAGCTTTAGTGAAACATGATTTGTTATTATGTTTATGTGACAAAAAAGGCTCACCTTCAGTGGATGTCCTAAGAATCAAAATTGAAATAGTATTAACATAAAATTATTATTCAGTGTTTTCAACGGTTTTAATCAGCAGGTCCGTTCAGGAGACATCTGTGAATAATTTGGCAATGGTGGTGAAGACAGACATCATTAAACTTTTTTTTTTTTGTAATCAACTTTTTGTAGAATTTAACCATTAATAACACAGGAACTAAACACAAACATTGAATACACACAACACTGTCAGCCATCCCTCCCCCCAGAACACACAGAACCCCCATCACTCCAATCCTGTTTTCTCTTAAAGTGAAAGTGAAATTAAAAGCAGGAGTGGGTGGATCATTTGATACTGGATATATATAGCTTATTTCTTTTTACTGCAACATTTCTGGATCAGTTGGATCGGTGTTAAGGCTCTTTCCCAGCACATTAAAGGTAAGCTGTTTCTATTCTGTCTGTTATGGTAGATTTTACCATAAAACTGTGCTTTTAAAACTGATCACTTAGATGATGAAATGATTAAAATATGAGTTGAAATATGAGTTTTGTGAGGAAAAAAAGCAGGGAATTTTAGAAGTATACCGTGGCTTTTGAGATAACTAGCTGTAAAGAAACATTTGTAACTGCAATCATGGCCTACTTGTTTTAACTGAGGTAGAATATACTGCCTGTTTCCATGTATAATAATCAGTTAATGACATACATACATCAATAACAGTCTAATTTTATCCATGACAATAAATCATAGTGTCAAGTTTTCTCATTTCTGGGTATCAGCCAATATTCACTGAGTTTGATTGGCAATCTCTATAAACGACGGTCAACTGACATATTTATTTTATTCAACAGGAAAGTTGACACCATTGACAAATAGTTTTACTTGGGGGGCCGCCGGTATAAGATTGTTCAGGGACTTGTTTTAGCATATTGATATCTGGTGGATGTTTAACAAACAACAAACTGACGTCAGGTACAAACCTGTTCTACAATCTGCTGCTGTGAAAACTGAATTGCGGTTGAAAAAATCCAAAAGTTTCTCAGGTGACTTTATAAAACTTACTGCTGGTCAACAAAGAGCAGACACACAGCCTGTATGATACAT